TGTGTAGAGGATATGGTGACAGGCCAAGGGAGCCAAGCACCAGCACTGGGGAGAGGGTGGTTTCTAGGTGAAGTCTGGGTGCTCTCAACATGATGCAGGAGCAGAGGAAGGGAAGTAGGTGAGTGGAGTCAGAGACTGCTGGTTCTGATGTAATCTGGGTGCTTCCCTGCACCTCCTGAAGCCACCAGAATGACCTTCTGGCCACAGAGGAGAAAGCAGAGAGTGCACAGCAGGAGGGCAGAACTAAACAAAAAATCTGAAATGTTTGAGTATCATTTGCTCTTGAAAAGGCCAATACTCAGAAATACAGATGTGGGAAGGAGACTAAAAAAGAAAGTGATATGTAAATGTGAACATATGCCACTTTCTATTAAACAGAAAGAGAGAAGCAGGGAGGGATGGGGCAGGAGGAGGGAGAAAAGGGGACGCTTGGGGGCCTGAGTTAGAGAAAATGATCTTTCTTGCTTGTGGGATTATTGAAAAGGAAGCCCTCTACTGTGTTTAACTCTGATGTACTAATAAAGAAAAAATTAAAAAATGAAAAATCAAAATTCAAACTTAAAGCAAAACCCAAAGTAGTGCCTTCCTTGATTTCCACCTGCATTTCTCACAAGGATCTGCAAACCTGGCATGCCACAGCCACTGTGGCATGTGCTAGGGGATTCCTAAAAAGCCGACCCATGTGGCAGAGATGTGCAGGCAAAGGAACCACAAGATTGCCATGGATTGCCCTGAAAAATGCTCAGCTAAACACTTGGCCAGATAGAGGTCTTGCATGCCAAAGGGTAGGCAGGGAAGACAAAGGACAAGGCCATAGTGCTTAGTGCCTGCAGACCTCAGTATGACCTTGCAACTCCCCACCTTCACCTTTGTAACCAGGCTCTCCCAAGATTCTCAGTCACCTTTGGGCACCACTCAGTGGAGCTAGCTGAGGGAAATTTTTATGAAAGCCTCAGGTAATCATTTCAGAATCCTGGAATCTCTGATATTCCCATAGGTGATATTCTTGCAGGTAATCCTTGGGGCCCAGCCCCTGGGTGACCATGCCAACACCTTTGGCCAGCCTGGGCACCTGCAAATGGCCATGCTGGCAGCCTCTGCTCCCTGTGGTTGCTGGAACAAAGCTGGACACCCTGGGTGACTTCAAGACTCAGCCTTTGTGTCCTGGAGGCCGAAAGACTAAGACAGGTAACTAGGCCTGCTCTTGGGACACCTCCAGGTGCCATCGTGTGCCCTCCCAGCTCAAATGGTAATGCAGACCTTGAAGCCTTTCCCTCCCAGCTGCCGGGCTCCAGCCTCCTTCTCTATCCTCAGAGGGCCCTATATGTCCTTCTTCACCCAGCCAGCCTCTCATAATAACATGGTCACCCTGCATTCGGGCACTCCCTGCTGTACTGTGACGTCACCTTGACTAACTCTGCAACAACCCAATTCCAAATCAGCTCATATTCTGTCCTCAGGGACAGCATGTCAACCTACCTTTGAGCAAAGACACAACCATCACAGAGCTCTATCTCAGCCCCAAGAATGCACATCCCTTCCAGGCCCACACCTGGGCTCATAACCCTCAGAGTGTTGATTTGCTTCATCTCTGGGAGCTTCATGTGAGCCAGCACTGGGTGGGACATGGGTGAAACTCCTCCCTTCTATAACCTGTGGACCTTGCCAGCACGCCACCTAATGAGCTGCAGGCCCTGTCATGGCAGCCTGAGTTCTGGGTGTCTTCTAGTTCTGCAGGCCTCAAAGCCTTCACACTCCCCTGCAGTCCCCATTCAAAGGAACAAGGGAAAGGCCACCTCAACAGTAGGGAATACACATCACTTTTGCACTCACCTCAGGTTAAAAAAGCAGTCCTGCTCCTAGTGGGCAGCTGTGAAGAGGCCAAGCAGGTTCCCTAGAAAGAGAGGAGAACAGATAATGGCTGAGCATTAGCAAACTCAACTGCAGGGTAAAGAAGGTGACCCATCAGCATTGACCTCTGGCCCTGACCTCCAGTAGAGGGCTCTGGATTCCCTGGAAAGGACAGGGCCTTAAAATGGAAGGAACCTGGTCCCTGCAAAGCTGCCTCCTGGCCAGCCTGTCCCAGCTGGCTGGCTGACCCTGATCCCCAAGGATCTGCCTCCTGCCCAGCCTCTCCCAACAGGCTGACTGCCACAGTCCCCAAGGATCTGTCTCCTGCCTAGCCTCTCCCATCAGGCTGACTGCCCTAGTCCCCAAGGAGCTGACTCCTGCCCAGCCTCTCCCTGCCAGATGATTGCCCCAGCCCCCAAGGAACTGCCTCCTGCCCAGCCTGTCCCAGCCAGCTGGCTGACCCTGGTCTCCAAGGAGCTGCCACCTGCCTAGCCTCTACCTGCAAGCTGGCTGCCCCTGGTTGAAATGAGAAACTGCAATACAATTAATTTCCCTTGGCAATAGCCATCCAGACTTGAACATCATCCTGGGTTCCAGCCAGGGTTTTTTTCCTGAGATTCCCAGGCACCTGGCCTCCAGAAGCAACATTTTCTATACAAAATGTTGCTCCTGACTGCAAAAAGTAAGGAAAAAATTAAAAAGTAAAACCCTGGAATCATAAAAAGGCTCATCATCCCCACCTCAGGTCATTAAGATATCTAAAGTTCCTGGTGTCTCATTTTAGCCACAACATCCTCTAATATCTGTAAGACTGTTGGTACTAATTTATAAGAATTTTCAGGGAAATGGGCCCCAGAGGCAAGAGAAGAAACTACTAAACACCAGCACTAATCGAAACCCTTACAAAAGTCTTATGTATCAAATCCATTTTATCACCTTCCCTATCAATTATCAAAATGTTTTCATATTTAAACAGTTTCTTATTGAAGAAAACATTTTCTTTCTTCTTTATGAGTCATTTGCTTTATTGTGTAGTAAGCCAACAAGAGAAAAATCAATCTGACATTGATTCTAATATGTGATTGAATGTACATATATGTGAGTTTAGAGAGAGTTTCTCTATCCCTGCAGCCAGAGTGTTTCCCTCCCACTGGCTGCAGGAAAGGTTGTCAAAACAACTTCATAACAGATCATTCCTGTGGATAAAATTCCTAACTTAATTCTCATTTTAATCCAGAGTTTCTCCTACTGCTTTCTTCAATGGCAATAACTAAAATAAATATATTGAAAGATTGAAATATTGGCCACAAAAAATGTTTTAAAATAAAAATTGGCCACACTGCTAATGGAGTTACTGTTGACATTTATAAGAATGGGTCCCAGCTAACCAAGAAAGCCACACATCTGATTTTCTTAAACTCTCTGATCACTGACCCTCTCTATAAAGGGAGGTGGTAGTTTGGGTTTCTGTGCACAGCTGTGGAGGTACTGCATAAGTGGACTGCATACTGTGGTGTCCTGCAATCCTGAAATCCCACCTTCCAGCTGAAGAGCTGTAACCCCTCTGGGACTGAACAGTTCTCAGAGGAAGTGCCTCAGCCTGTGAAATGCAAACTAACCACCAGAGCTGGGCCTGCTCCCTCTGATCACCTAACAGTGGTTCCATGCAGTCCCAGGACTAAGGCTCCTCCACCGTGTCATCCTGCCATCCCCTGGGCCTACAAGCCAAGACCTGTATGCTCTTCATTTGGCCAAGAGAGGAAGTCAGGCAGGCCTAAGGGATAGGCTGAGGGATGGGCTGAGGGATGGGCTGGTAGTGGACACATTCCTGATGTCACCCAGACCCCAGTCCATGGATGGTGACTAGCATCACCCAGCCAAAGGTGAGGTGTAGTAGCCAAAAGGCTGGTCCTCACCACAGTGACATGAACTCTCCTTGAGCACCCTTGAGCCTGGAGAAGACAGTGCAAGAATAGCACTTGGCTCTGCACTGGCCTGTGGTGTGATGGGGTGTGTGAATTAGATTGGAAGACACTCTAAGGAGCCCACCATTATTGTTATTCTGTCATTATCTTGAAAACCTGTGTGTGAGCCCCTGTCTCTAATTCAGAGCCAAAAGTAGGGTGAAATTCCTTTTCCTGATAGGAAACCAGGTACAAAACTGCTCAGTATTATTATTATTTTTTTGGAGACACACTGATAAGAGGCCCTATTATGCAAAAAGCTCTGAATACACAAAGGAGCTTTTTGTTTCCCACAGCTCCTGACCATCCCTGTGGGGTCAGGCTGAAAGCATCCTTGTGTACAGATGGAGAAAATTGAATCATTTGACTCTGAGGCCTCAGGGACTCTGAAGTAAAAAGAACATCCATTCTTTCCTTCAGCTCTCAAAGGAGGAGAAGGCAATATAGAGGCTATGAATTTCCAGAGCTATTGGCAGAAACAGATTTGAAAAAAAAATTGATTCTTCAGCTTTGATATGCTATCTTCATTGCAGCAGAGGTGGCTATTAGATGAAGATGCCAGGCATGGCAACCAAGCAGTGACACTGTGCTCTTAACCAGTTTGGCTGGTTAAGCTTTCATGGATGAAAAACCTTTTAATAATGTCTGCTGAGAAGTTTTCCTCTCTCAGAGAAATACAAGTATAAAAATCATTGTACAGCCATTATCCAAAGGCTACTACAGATAGATAATGACCTTGGCTTTTTAAAGTAGGATGAAAGTGATAGATCATGCCCCAAACAGTTAACAGTACAGTGTTGTTCAGTGACCAGAAGAAGTCCCCATGTCCACCTAGGTGCCAGGACCCATAGACATATACTGCCGCCTGCCAGCTCATTCAGGGTAGGTTTTCCTTTGAGTCAGAAATATCTAAAAGAAACACAGCCAGGGGATTGGACAGAAGGCATCCAGGGTGGTGGAGGTGAGAGGGTTTCCTTGATTCCAGTGGAATGCAGAGGTGTCATGCCTCCAGGTAAATGAAAACTAAAGCCCCCAAGGAATACACAATGCTGCTCACCCTGGGGACTCCCCAGAGCATGGGGAGCCTAGTAAAGAAAGAAAATGCCTTCCAGATGGCCACCTGTCAATGTTGCCTCTTTCCTGGAGCTAAATACTAAAAGCAAGTACTTCTTTGTGTTCTCCCAGGATCTAAACTTGTGCTGGAAACCTGCCAGAAATAGCCCAGCCCTCTCTACAAATGGACTCCTCACCATGAACACAGTGTAACTCCAGCTGCACTCGCCTTCCTCCCACAGTCCCTTCTCAGCCTCCCCAGCCTGGGTCTGTCCCTCTCTTCTGTGCTCAGCATCATGTTCCCGTTCTGTCTCACTGATAGGTATCCAACTCAGAATCAGAAGTCTATTGAAAGTGTCCCTTAAAGATGATGCAATTATGTGACCAGGCCTTGGACCATCGGGATGATCTGCTCCCCACCCCAGGAGCCACCCACTACATCTGGAGTGCACACAACCAGCAAGGCCAGGGACCCATTCACTAGCAAATTGGAGCCTTTAATGGGTGCTTGTGGGTCCCCCATTGGAGAAGAACCTGATATCATGGCAGAGACACAGGACAGTCTTTTATCCCCCACACCTTTCACAGGCAGGGACAGTGTGACAGCACAGGAAATGCCATGCCATTGTGGAGGATGGCATGGGAGTGGCAGAAAAAAAAGAGCATCTCATATGCAGGTGCAGGGGCAGTGACTAAAAGGTGTGATTTGACTCTGATTTTGCTGAGCTTTGAGGTAGGGCCTGTGATCTTCGGAGGCCCAGGGCACTAGTTCGTGCATCTGAATTTTGGACAGCTCCTGTCCCCACACTAATGACAGCTTTTTACTTCAAGACTGAAAGCAACATTTCATGCATGGTGTCATCTTCATGAAACCAGAAAAACACCACCATGGCATGGCTTTTCAGCACGAGGCCTGCTCCAGGTAAGGTCATCAGATGCAAAGGTGAATGTTCCAGGAAATCGCCATCCATCTTTCATACAGAGGTGGCCCCGCAGTGGTCTGGCCATGACCACTGGAGGTAGAGATGAGAGGCACAGAGAAAGATGGCTCCAGCCCTGCATCTGTGGAGGGCCTAGCATCTTACACCCAGCACGGCTCACTCCTGCAGCCCAGGAGACAAGCCTGCTCCCTTTGATAAACAAGTTTAAGCTGACTTAGGGTTATTTTGTTACTTTAAACCAAAGACCCCTACCTCATATAAATTTCATTCAGATTCATTCAGTCAATGAAGCTGAGACCAGAGCTGAAATGGTCCTTATCCTGTTACAGGCTGAAGCTTGGATGTTGCCTGTCCCCCAGGGTCCCTATGTTGAAGACTCAGCTCTCAGAATGTCCCTGGGGAGGTGCAATACAGAGGCATGTCTTCAGGAGGGCTCTGCAGGTGATGGAGGCCCAGGCTTGTCTTTAATTAAAACAGAACAAAGCCCATACAAAGAAAGTGCCCTGTATACAGAAAACACTTCTATAAAAAAAAACCCACTGGGCAGAATCATATGCCCAGCTCCTAGCTGCAGATCAGTGCCTTCTTAAGTAAATGCTTTTTGACACTTATGAGTTGACTGGCTCTCTAAATGTTCCTTTAAGCAGCTCTGGCAAGTACCCAAAGGTTCATTAAGGGGCTGCCCATGTGCAGAAGTGTCTTTTGGCTGTAATAACAAAGACATGGAACTTCTGAGAAGGCAGAGGGGACAGAGGCTTGTTGATCCTGGGACCATGATTCTACTGTCACACACACACAGTCACATGGAGGTTTTGGAATGTAATAAGCAGAGAGAAGGGAGGGGACAAGGTTAGCTCACAGCAGTGACTTGTCATCACTGAGTCCCCAGCACTCAGCAAAAAAATAGGTGGTGTAGGCAGGTTCCCAATATGCTTGAGTGCCTTGTCACACATTCATGCTCTGTGGACAAAAATAATGACAGTCTCTGCCTCTTAGAATTAACAAGGAAATTTAAAAAGTGATTGTGTTTGAAAAGCCCTTAGAAAGGTGATCATGCCCTTTTGTTACTTTAAACCCAAGACCCAAAGACCAAAAGACTCCATTAGTCTGAGTTCTCCAATCACTCTGCAGGCTGTGGGCCTGCCCTGCAGCAGGTGGCCAATGCCAGATCTCTCTTAAGAGCTGTGGAGAGAGACGTTACAAGATGTGGAGGCTCAGCAAACAGCCTCAAAATGCACCCCTGGCAGCCACCTGCGCTCCTCTAATGAGGTTTTAGAAGTGTTTAAGAAGCCAGGCTCATGAGAGTCAGAAGATAGTGCCAGGCAGACCAAGGAGCTGCTGATCTTTACGAGGATCTCAACATCCAGGACACATAACAGTGAGGTGTCTCAGAGGGCACACTTTATGTGACTCCATGACATAATATATTTATCCACTGAAGTAACTTGGAGGAGTGGGGACAGTTTGGGCTAGCAGGGATAGGGGCATGGAGAGGAGCTGAGTCTCTAGAGGGTGATGTGAAGGAACGTTGAACAGGTAAGACACCTTTCTGTGGCTGATGGGGGACTGTGAGGCTAAGGAAGCACATGCCACATGCACACCCAATTGGTGACAATGAAAGAGTTGCCAGGATGACACTGATGTTAACCACCTGGTTGATGTTCTGCATGGTCAATCCAGATGCCAGCTCTGGGAGGCTGAGCCAAGTGTCCATAGAACCCATGTTTCTTTGAAACTTCCAGGGAATTGAGGATTATTTCAAATCAAGTGTTTAGGAAAAACTATGGACAGTGTGGCTTCCTGTTCCTCAGTCAGAAACACATCCACCTCAGTCC